TCTGGTTTCCTTCTGCTACCCACATAATCCTCTCTCTCTCTCTCTCTCTCTCTCTCTCTCTCTCTCTCTCTCTCTCTCCCCCTCTCTCTCTCTCTCTCTCCCCTCCACCCCCACATTAATTCTCTGCCCTGTTTCTTCCAGTTCTGGGCCAAGCACAGCACCCAAAGAACAGAAAATGAAACTGCAATTTCAAATCATCACTTCAAATCACACTTGCGAAGTCCCCATCCCTGCCTAATGCCACAGGCTGGCAGGGATTTCCCACCAGAGAAAGCCAGATGGAATCCCCCTAAAGGTGATTATGGGCCTCCACCCTCCTGGACGGTCCCCGTGAAAGCAGCAGAGTGCAGAGGTGTCCCCAAAAAACGCCCACAGCCCTAAAAACACCAAGGCGTCCCTTCTGTGGGAGATCTGTGCATGGGGTGCACAGAAGCAAGGAGGCAGGTCAGCCGGGCACCCGGAGAATAGGCCCAGAGGGTCATTCTAAGTCCCCAGAGTTCTAAAGATGACGCAAAGTTTTAGCCAGTGCCTGGTAATCTGGCCTGGCTGCCCCCCTATTCTCTGCTTTCCTTGTTTCCACCACAGAACCCCAAAATCCGGGAGCAGGAATCCCTCCAAGTCACCCCAAGGGCCATGTTCTCCCACCTGCGTGCTTTCTGCAGCTTCCTGGCTGGAAGCCAGTCCCTCCCCACCTCTCACCCCTCCCTCTCACCCCTCCCTCTCACGGCCCTCTCTTTCTCACCCCTCTCTCTCACTGCCCCCTCCCTCTCAGCCCTCCCTCTCACCGCCCCTTCTCCAGTGGCCCCAAAATGGCACCTGGCTTTCTGTGAGGCTTACCTAGACAGGCCTTTGTCTTGAAAAGATGCTTGACTGCCCCACACTCATGCTCAGCCCAGCTTACCTACCCTCCGCACCCACCACACCGCCAGAGGCAGAGCCGGCTCTCCCTCCCTACTGAGCTCTCTGACCCCAGGACGCCATCCTCACCCCATCCTCACTCGGGCTTGAAGTGACTCTGTCACCTGCCCGTGACCGAAGCAACAGGAACTGGGACAATCCAAGCTGCGGTGTTGTGATGACACACATTCCTGACAGAAGGGGTTTCATTCAGTGGGGGGTGCAGTTCTGGGAAACGTGCTTTGGGTTCAGGGGAGCCAACCCCCCAGCAGCCTGCCACCTCATAACCCCGGCCTGGGGCCGCTCTGTCCTGACCTATAGCCACCTCTCCCCAGCCGCTGTCTCACTCTCTCCCTGGGCACCGGGAGAACGGACCGCCCACACGGGAGGGTTATCAGCTGAAGGTTCAACAGAGACACCAACCGCGTGGCCTACAGCCAAAAGGACTGTGCCCTAGGGCTGGGAAATGGGGGGAGGGGTCCCTGGGCAGATGGCTCATCAGTCCTCCACATCCAGAAAAGGAGCCGCTAATACAAGGATGGTGAGAGCACAACTCTCCCCATGGTATCGCTCGGGGTACTGACACCATCTCAAAGTGCTGGTGTCAGAGGTTAAAACTGCCAAATGGATGAGGTAGTTGTGAAAGGAGGAGAGGAGACACTGTGCCATGTTAGAGGGTGTGGGTGGCTCCACCTCACACTGTCCCCTCCAGGAGAAACAGCTGTCTCCACATACAACCCCTGGGATCAGCACCGATTCTCCCTAAAAGGCAGTCCAGTGGAGGAAGCCCAGTGTAGGTGCGCAGGGGGGACTGCTGGAGATGTGCATACTTTTAATTTCAAGAGTCATTAGTGTCCATTGCATACAAGAGCCAGAAGAAGGTGGAAATCAGGGTTATTATTCCTCTGAGGAATCTACTTATATAAAAACCATGGGTGGTGTTCATCACATATGGACAAACAGCCAGCGACCAAGCGGAAGGAAGTTGTTCCTACAGGGGTTGTCTTGGCAACGGCTGCGCCCTCCCCCAAGCTGTTTCCTGGAGCTGTTTCCTGTAAGGGTGGAATTTGAGGCAGGAACCCGCCCTGGGGAGCGTGGAGGCAGATCTTTCTCAAGTGTGCCACTCCAGCACGGGGTGAACCTGAGTGGGGCGGCTGAAAGGCTTAGAAAAGACAGACAGGCCGAAGCCGGTTTGGCTCAGTGGATAGAGTGTCGGCCTGCGGACTGAAGGGTCCCGGGTTCGATTCCGGTCAAGGGCATGTACCTGGGTTGTGGGCACTTCCCCAGTGGGGGATGTGCAGGAGGCAGCTGATCGATGTTTCTCTCTCATCGATGTTTCTAACTCTCTGTCCCTCTCCCGTCCTCTCTGTAAAAAATCAATAAAATATATTAAAAAAAAAAAAAAAAGAAAAGCCAGACAGGAGAATGAAAGCTGGGTCTTGGTGGGACGCTGCTTCTCTGAGAGACATTGACCACGCCCACAGTCATGCCTTTATTTTATCGCAGATGCTAAGAGGCAAAGTAAGGGCGTGACCAAGATGTTTACAAACATTCTCCTGGGTTTCAATCCTACTCAACTACATGCACCTGAACTCTATCAAGCCCACATCACTCAGGCACGTGGGGCCACGTGTTGGGACCGTAGGTTCAAGCTTACAACTACAGCTTTTGGCTATAATTGTGCTGGGAGGGCCCTGCCCTCCAAGCTGGGACCTTCACGTGGCAATGAGAGGACTGGGTCCTCTCATCAGTCCAAGGCTTGAACCTGTCCAAAACACTGTAGCGGCTCCCCACAGTAAAGTTTTAATTGTGTTTCTTTGTTACTGATGTTGTGGCCCACCCCATAACAAAGAAACAAAGGAAAATTTCCCCATCGGATTTCTGAATAGTATTACTCCTTTGGGAATGCCGTGTCATAAATTAAAATTGAAAATGGGTGCAATCATCATGCTATTGAGAAAGCTCAATAGTAAAGGGGTCTTTGTAATGGTACCAGATTTATTATCAAAAGATTACGACCTAACATTATCGATGCTGAAGTATTAACAGGATCTGCAGAGAGAGAGGCTGTTCTGATTCCAAGAATTAATTTGTCCCCATCTGACACTGGCCTCCCATTTAAATCGATTCGACGACGGTTTCCCATGATGCCAGCATTTGTGATGACTATTAATAAATCACAAGGACAAACTCTAGACAGAGTAGGCATGTTTCTACCTGAACCCGTTTTTGCACATGGTCATTTATATGTTGCTTTCTCTCGAGTTTGAAGAGTATGTGATGTTACAGTTAAAGTTCTAAGTACTTCATCACAAGGGAAATTAGTCAAGCACTCTGAAAGTGTTTTCACTCTTAATGTGGTGTACAGGGAGATATTAGAATAAGTTTAATCACTTTATCAGTCATTATTTGCATCATTGTTGTTTTTATAGCATGTTATGGTTGTTTTCATATCATGTTTTTGTCGTTTTTATATCATGCCTCTGTTGTTATATCCTTTTGTTACTGTTTATTAATAAATTGATATATGATTTTCATATACATTTTACTAATTTCCTTTCATCTCTCACATTTCTATTATAGAGAAAGGACAAATAGCAATATTAAAATATATCCGCTAATTAATTCCCTTTTTTAAAAAAAATATATATTTTATTTTTTTACAGAGAGGAAGGGAGAGCGATAGAGAGTTAGAAACATCGATGAGAGAGAAACATCGATCAGCTGCCTCCTGCACACTCCCTACTGGGGATGTGTCCGCAACCAAGGTACATGCCCTTGACTGGAATCGAACCCAGGACCCTTGAGTCCGCAGGCCGATGTTCTATCCACTGAGCCAAACTGGTTAGGGAAATTAATTCCTTTTTAATGTGCACGAATTTTGTGCACCGGGCTACTAGTATTGAAGATTGGCAATATTCACTCTAAGTCAGTAATATTACATATTATCCACTAGAGGGCAGAGTGTGGAGTATGACTTGTAGGATGGTGGGACACACTGTGGGAGACTTCTAAGGCATTAGATTAGATGCTCACTCTAGTTTGGCTGATAGAAAATGGATTGACTTAGCATTCCCACAGATGAATGTGGAGGGAGGAGAAATCAGTGTGGACTTAAACCAAAATAAACCAACAAAACCCACCAAGACCCAAGGAAGAAAGCCAGTATCCTGGCACATTTGTTGGATGTGACAGACTGGGGAAGATGAGACCCAGAAAACGGTGCCAAATCCAAGGCCCCCCAAATGCAGGTGTGTTCATCACACATCACAGAGGGGCCCTGTGTCTAATCGTTCATCAAACGCGTTAAGAGGAAATGGAGCATTAGCGGTGAGCTTCTTCAAGTGTAATTTCCTCTAAGAGAAATTTATGGCCTGCACTTACTCTCCATTAGAGTGCGTCTAACTTCTTTTATTCGTTTATTCATCAAGACAGCCCTGGGTTCAGGCCAGCCCTGGGAACCCGCAGGCCATCGGGAAAGGGACCTCGGGGGGCTCTCCTCCTGGTCCAGTGGAGTTTTCCAGATCACAGCAGGAGCAGCCGTGGTGCGTTTGCAGGAAGTGTTCAGGTATTCCCCAAAAGGCCATTCACAGCACCAGCCCCAGGGGCTACACTGGCTATAAAATGAACATCTGAAATGTACTCTGAAATGAAATGATTTTCTGTTTGCCATATGAGGTTTGTGATTGCCTCTCCAAAAGCATTGCTTCTATTGCTTTTATGGCCAGGTTCAATTTCTTGTGTAGTGATGTAATAAAGGGGTGATTTAGAACTGGGAGCGAGGACTTCTGAATCAATGAGCAGATGTATCCCTCACCTGCTGCCCCCTCGCCCCGTGACACTGGGCTCATTTCCCGATTTCCAAGCCACCCGCGAAGTCCCAAAACTGGGGACACAGGCACAGCTGTTCCTCTCTTTACCATGGAGGCCCTACCCCTGCTGAAGAGAGCACCCCAAGCCCTACTCTGGGCTTTCTCGGGATCTGTGGGGCGCATCACTCTTTCTGTGAATAATGGAACTTTAAGGTTATCGTGATGAAAGTGAAACACACCTGATATTTACAATTCCCCTTTGGGGACTGGAATGAGGAAAGAACATCTTACCTTGTCTTAAGGATATTCAGAAACTGCAAAATTTCTGAAAACTGGATCAGTCTGAGAGCTCGTAAAAATCTCAAACCTGGGAAGAGAAATGAGATAGAGACGCGTTACTTTCAGCGGGTGGTGATGTTCGCACCGTGTGATTTACACCTGTCAGGGGCGAGGGGAGATGAAGCCGTGGCAGGAGATTCAACTGCCCGCACTTTGGACATAGTCCTTCATCCCGATTCTTCGCTGGTTTCATCTCAGCTGCTGATCGGAGTCGTTAAAGGGAGCTGTTTGGAGCCCCTGAGAAGGAAGGTCCGGCGGGAGGCCGTTTAAGGAGGTCTCTCCCGTGCCCACCTGAGGCAGTGTTTCAGAGTTACCTTATCGCCAGAGGGGATTTTGTCACTGAAAATGACTGGGAATAGCTCAGCGCCACCCTCGTAACCCTTATGCTAAGAGCAGATTAGGAACAAATCTGATAACCTGATGTCTGATGGATTTCTAAGTCTCCGTCCTGACACAATGAAGAGTACTGGCCACTGCGCTATCTCTTTTCTAAGCTCGCACACCCCATCACTTCAGGATTCGAAAGTCTGTAATGCCACTCCTGCCAAGTGTCAAGACAAACGTTCCTCCTTTCTAAATCAGCAACCTGTCGTGGATGGAGAACAAGCCAGTGTTTCCAGGTGGCAGAAGCGAGAGGAAACAGGGGAAAGAAATACAACCAAGGATGAAAGAAAATTCAAATTACTGTTGTGTTTTGCTGGCCAAGGGCAAATATATATTTCCACTGAGAGCAGATCTGTGAGTCAGAAACTTTCTGAGTCCCTGGTGGGTTTTAATGCTTGGCCTGCATGCAAGAACTGGCTTACCGATGGCCAAGGGTTTGAGACACTGTTCAAGGTCACGTCCTCTCCTAAGGGGGTTTCCTTTTGCAGATTCCCCTAAAGCATTTCATTCAGTGCCTTGAAGCGCTGTGTGCCGCTGAGCGCCAAGCGAGCTAAGTTGTTGACAGTGGGAGACGTTTTCTGCCCCATATGTGAGGCAGTAAGGGGGCATCTAATGCGCAGTGACGAGAAGAAGCGGTAGTGAGTCGCTAGACACCCAGGATGAATCAAAGAAAACAGACAGACCGGACGTTCCCCCTAAACAGCTCCCCACTGGCCCAGTTAGGTCACTCCTTGTTCAGGCATAAGGTGCCAAGGAAAAGCTCATTGAAAGCCCATGGGCGTGGAAGGGTTCCTACTGCACAAAAGGGAAGAAAGGACAATGGCTCAAAGGGAAAACTTCTCATCTGACTAGGATTCACCTTCGTGAAGAAATGATTTTTTCAGAAAAAATCGCCTTCTATTTTAAATGATGTTTATATTGGGTGTTGGTGGTTGTTTTTTTAACAAAAAAGTGCAGAGATGAGAAGGGTGCTGATGAAATGAAAAGACTCGGGAGTCCGAAGCAGAGGCCAAGCCACACTGATGAGAGGCTGGCGTAACTGCTAAAAACTGAGCTTGATGCGAGGTCAAAACCGAGACGTCATCCCAGAAGCAGGGACAATGGGGCCAGGGAGGGACAACATGACACTTAAGAAAAGATCAATGGAGAGAAGACCACAGAGACCCAGCCTGGGAATAAAATGTGTTCCAGAGGGAAGTATAGGCGAGATCATCAGTTCAGCCAGGACATCATAGGAACGTACTTTCTAGATGTGAAAAAAATGACTCAAAGGGAAAATGGGTGGCAGGCTCTTAGAAACCAATGCTGTGAAGTATGACTTTGTTTCCTGTAAATATCAAGCATTAAAATAAAGTAAAAAATAAAGTGTCCAGGTGGGGGGAGGGTTACCATTAACGCAACTCAAATCATATTGTGCACTGTCAACTTAAATGACACTCAGGCAGCACCCAGAATTTTAGGCCCAGATTGGTACACCCAACAAAGTCGTTGTTCAACAGTAAAGGTAACAAAAAGATACTTTCAAATACCCGAGGTCTCAGAAAATAGATTGTTTGTGCGAAAGTATTTTCAAAGAAGTTTTCAATCCTTCCTTAGTCAGAATGAGTCGCAGGGGCTGGAAAGTGTATTTTTATCAAATTGTCCTGTTGGTCCTAATGACTGACCTCACTACAGCACCACCGACGCGTGCTGCTGGGAGATAAAATAATAAATTTAGAAACACTGGGTAGGGATAGACTGGCAGCACTGAAACCAGTCAAGGACATAGGCTCTTTAGTCATGCCTTAGCCACTGACGGCTTCATTCTGAAAATCCCGTGTGTGCATGCATATATATTTTTCCACTCATGGAAACAAAAATAGAATACAGATGACCTAAACTTCAAACTGGGTTTCTCCCTTCTTATCGTTAAGTGATGCATTTGCATCCTATATTGTTTGTTTGTAGCTCGCCACTCTATAGAGGGACTCACTAGAGTAAAAGAGAATAAAAGCTTTCCTTTTCGATGAGGTATATGAAAATAAGGGTCGGAAGACATGGCTGCAGCAGCCACATGGTCCTGTACTCTTGCTAGAGGTAAACTGTTCGCCAGCAAAAGCAAGCAGGGAGACCAGTAAGATGAATAATGTGTAAGAGAGGAGAACAGTCATCCCAGGGAGGAAACCCGAGAGCAATGTCCCTGCAGAGGGGCCGTGGGAGCAGCAGCGTCTCGGGGACAGAACAGCAGTGGGCTGTGCTTATGTGAAGGCCTGTGCTGGTCATCCATGGCACAGGGTTTCATGAACACAAATGAGTTAACAAAGTTCAAAATAGGTTTAAAAAATCAGTCTTCATTTTATCCTTGCCGAAGCCAGACTCTCAGGAGAAGTGGTGGCCTCAAGCATGTGTATTTCAGGCACAGTTCACAACAGCCCCCTCGCTGCTTTCTGCCCTGGACCCCTGGTGGTCTATTCTCAGCATATCAGCTAGAGCGGGCTGTGAAAAGGTGGAATGGATATCCTTCAATGCCCCATTTCACACAAAGTCAAAGTCCTTCAAGGACCTAAAGCAAGGCACCCCCATTTCCTTTTGGCCTCCTTGTCCTCCTACTTTCACTCTGGTCTGGCTGTCTTCTTCGGTGACCTTGGCTGTGCAGCATGCTCCTGCCTCAGGGCCTTTGCACACGCTGTCCTATCTGCCTGAACACTCTTGCCCAGATGGGCGCACGATACACCCCCTCACCTCCTCCAGGTGTTTACGCAGTGTCACTATCTCAGTGAGACCTTCCCTGGTTACTGTGTCCAAAACTGGAGCTCTCCCCTCGCTCTCCCTCCGGTCAGAGTCGACAGTTAGTGATTAAGGAAAGAGAAGAGAGCAAACAAAGTCTGATAAAGTCGGGAAACAGCAGTTTCACAGTCACCCTGGCGAGTAACCAGCACCTTTCAGGACAACATTCCCTCTAGTCGACTAGGCAGGACAGACAGCTTTACAGCCATTGGGGGGTTGGGGTGATGGCAGGTAAATGGCATCTTTCTGCTGGATGAATGGGGGAGGGAGAAAAGGGGGGGGATTCCTTTTAAAAAGCACGTGCACAAGAGAAGCCAAATGGCAACCATGAAGGAGCAGGGCACTCGCCTGGGAAAGTCTGGGGAGGGGTGGAGTGGAGAAGGACACCAGACCCCAGAAAATCCAGGAAAGAGACCAGGTGGGGGAGACCACCAGCACAGGCCCCGAGAAGCCAGGAAGGAGGCTGGAGTTTGAAAGAAAGCCCGCTCTTTTGCAAACGCAAGGAAATGCATGGAGGCTTCGCGAGGACCTCGGGCAGCTGCTACCCTACAGCCTGCCCACTCTCTCTGCCTCCCAGAAAGTGTTCTGTCACCCGTCCCTTTTCGTTCTAATAAATCTCGCCACTATGGCTAAACTCCTCCTCCATGAGGGTCCCTGAAATTCTTTCTCCAGGAAACTGTACAAGAGCCTACTTCCTCTAGCAACACCCTATTACTTTATGTCTCTCGCCTGCTGTTCTTCTCAGTATAAAGCACATGCATCTTTTTATGTAATTTGCATCCTTTCTACTTGGCTCTAGCATCAGCTCCCTGAGGGGAGCGACCTGTCTGGTGTGCTCGCAGCTGTACGTCACATGCTAAAACAGTGTCTGGCGTGAGGTGGGTGCTCAACAAACACCTGCTTGACTTGAGTGAATAAATCAGACTTGAGAATGAGTATGATGGCAGAGCTAAAGGTTAGATACTCTGCATTCGGAGCTAGGCCTTGCTTACTGAGGGGGAAAGCCAAGCGCTCCAGGTCAGGGCTGATGCTCTTAGGCAGCGGTTCTCAACCTGTGGGTCGCGACCCCTTTGGGGGTCAAATGACCCTTTCACAGGGGTCGCCTAAGACCATCGGAAAACACATATATAATTACATATTGCTTTTGTGATTAATCACTATGCTTTAATTATGTTCAATTTGTAACAATGAAAATACATCCTGCATATCAGATATTTACATTACAATTCATAACAGTGGCAAAATTACAGTTATGAAGTAGCAACGAAAATAATTTTATGGTTGGGGGTCACCACAACATGAGGAACTGTATTAAAGGGTCGCGGCATTAGGAAGGTTGAGAACCACTGCTCTTAGGAAATATAAAGCAGCCTAACCAAGAAGAGCCATAGCCACTGGTCACTCCTCGGCACCCAGAGAGGCCCGGAGGGGTAGGGACAGCAACACCGATGGCATAAAGGAGGCCAGGAGAAGAGAGGGTAGGATGGTCAATGCCTAAGTAACAAAGCATTCATCTTCTCTGCTCTATAGACCTATATTCTCATTCCTGATCCCATAGAATTCAAACCCTCTGAAGTAAGGCGGCCTTCCAGGGAAACAGGAAATGGCTGTAACAGAGTTGTGAACAAAACGTGTTTCTACCAAAAAAAAGATGAATTATGGTCCCCCTACCACCAAAGGTACCAGGTCCAGATGGTTTTACAAGTGCATTCTTTTAATCAGTCAAGAAATAGAGTAAAAAAAAAAAAATAGTAAACTTCCTTTCATGGTCTTTGATTCATAATCAATTTTTATTATATTGTAATAAAAATGGATTTTTCTCCTCTTTTCTGTACTCTATATTGGTTTAGAAAGCTGGTATTAATTAGCTAAACACAG